CCTCCCCCCCCCCCCCCCCCCAAGTCTGTCACTCAATCACTTTTTTTATTTTGGATACCTGATCTAGATAACTGTGGCCTCAATACAACTTCTGAAATGTATGCATGCAGAATTGAAAGACCTATTTTTGGGGCATGGCATTTTAGTTAAATTCTTTTGCACCCTGACTTGTTCACTCAAATAGGATAATGTGCATTGGGAGCAAACAGAGTACTTTTTCCCTCCTTTTTAAAGCCTTAGGCACTCAACTTCATGAATAACTATTTAGTTAGACCCTTGGCCTCCCTGTATTTTTCTTGCAGTGAGACTGACCCGACACCTACTTCAACATAGTAGGAATATGTAGCTGCACTTGCTGCATTCATGTGCTCTCTGATGTTATAATGGTACATTAGGGAGCTGTTATAACAGCTGCATGTTTTAAATCATCTCTACAGATGTTTCATTTTAATGTGAGCAGTACATCAGATTGAAGAAAAGCATAGACAACATAACACCACATTCACCTCTAGCTTTACTACCTCAGATCTACCAAGCAGAGCTACAATACATTTGAGGATCTGAGCACTGGAGTCTTCATTTGTTTTGGAGCCATTCAAATATGCATACTATTTTCATTTAATTCTTTATTTGATTTAAAATATTATATATTCTTCATGTGTAACATTTATCTTGCATCTCTAATTGCAGTTTTTCAGATTTTTATCGCTGGTTAGGCATATAGGATTGGTTACTGTTAGAATGTTTACAGATGACATTTCTCACATTTTGAAATCTTTCCTCCACCCTGCTACTCTTAATTAGAATAATAATATAGCTATCTTTTCTTCTAAAAAGTAGATGTGAAATATGACACACATCTACTACTCCACACCAAAATATACTTAACATTAAAGGAATACATTGTCATGTAATTAAAAAAACCCTTCCATTTTAGGCAAGGTTTATAATCATTTAAGTTAGTAAATGTTCCTCTTTAATGTCTTCCCCTTGATAAATAGGATCTTTATTATTTCTCTTAGTAATAGAATTCTTAAATAAATTGAATAAGTAGGCTTGAAATTTCTCCTTCATCCTTCCACTACATTTACCAGGCTTGTACACTTTGATGAATGAAGGAAAATTCTTAAAGCTCATCACCTTACACAAATGAGCTTTTGTTTCTCAAAAAAGATGGCAGAGAGAAGATACTTACATTTTAGCTCAAGTTTGATGAAGTCTGTGTTCCCCAGATTTTCAAGAAACACTCCATCAGGGGCTGAAGTTTTGAAGTAGAAGGAGATGTCTGCACTGGTTTCCCCTTGGAATGTGGAGAAGTGAAGATAGGATGATGGAGTAATGAAAGATGCAGCATTCCAATAATTTCCTGCAGAGATGGGAGAGACAAAGTACATGTGTGTGTGTATATATCTGTTTTTCAGTGCTCTTTTAGAGCTATCACTTAAATAACCAGTGTGGGGATCAGTGGGAAGAATAGAGAAGGTGAAATTTGTAATAGTAAAAGTGGTTAACATATCCTCACATTCAAAAAGTTATCATTCAGCTTCTAAAAACACCTTGCCCTTTTTCTCTATTTTGGAAATTGATCCAACTCCAGTGTGTGGAATCTTGTGTATCTTCCTAAGCTCTTGATTTATGAAATTAGTATTTAAACACACATTTTTGTGCCCAGGGGCCCCGATCCAGCAAAGTTTGCTTAATGTTAAGTATTTACTAGTAGGGGTGTGTGAAGGAGGTCCTATTCAATTTGGATTCGGCCCAAATCAGGGACAGTGATTTGATTAGTTGTTTCGGATCACTGTCTCTAATTCGATTTGGCCGAATCTGAATCTGAAGATTCGAAGCTGATTCAGAGAATCATTGATTCCGACATAGACACAGCTTTAAAAATTTTTTCTACAGAGCTTGAAGTAGCAGGCACAGCTCGTGATCACTGTGATGCTAGGGCACATGGAGCATCCCACAGGAGTGCTGGGGCAGGGGCGGGGAGGGGCCTCAGCAGCGAATCTGGAAGTGGGCTGGAAGTACTTCTGCTCCACTTCTGGGTCTGCTGGAGAGTGCACTGCCCCCCCCCCCCCCC